TCTTTCTTTCTTTCTTTCTTTCTTTCTTTCTTTCTTTCTTTCTTTTTTTTGGCAAGGCAATTGGGGTTAAGTGACTTGCCCAGGGTCACACAGCTAGTAAGTGTCAAGTATCTGGTCTGAATCCCACCCTTAATGCTAGTGCCTTCCCTCTGAGTTCACCTCCAATTTAACCTGTATATGTCTTGTTTGTACATAGTTTGTTACCTCTTTAAGAGCAGGAGTTATTTTTGCCTTTCTTTGTTTCTCCAGCACTTAGCATGATTCCTGGCACGTAACAGGCACTTAATAAATGCTTCTTCACTGTGTGATCTTGTCCAAGTCACTTCACCTCTCTGGGTCTCAGTTTCCTCATTTATAAAATAAAGAGGTTAGACTATATGATCTTTAAGGTCCTTGCTAGATCTATGATCCTATGAACCTTAAAAAATTTCCCTTTCCCTTTGTTGCAGTGATTTAACTTTTTGTCCCCAATATTGGACATTGAAGGACTGCAAGAGATTTCATTCTGGGAATGACAGAATGCGACCCAAGAATTGATGATGTCTAATCATTTTTAAATGAATTATGTCTCTGGATGAGTGTATATGAAAAAGAAAGTAAAAAAGTTAATTAGCAAAAAAATAAAAGTTTTAAATAAAAGTCAACACCCCATGGTAAATTTTCTACCTTCCTAAATTAATGCCTTACACTCAACTGAAATGCTAAAATTTTAAAAAATAAGAAAGTTAATGAAGGATACAGAGAAGCATGGGAAGACTTAGAAAAACTAATGCAATGTGAAGCAAGCAGAACTGGGAAAATGGTACACACAATTACTGTAGCAACATAATCAGAAAGAACAGAAATAACAAATTGAAACCAAATACTGTGAAATTATAATAATCAAGCCTGGCCCTCCCAAAAGAGATACCTAAATGAACTTTCTTCCCTTTTTTGCATAGGTAGGGTGCAATAGATGTGGAAAGGGGAATATACTATTAGACCTGGTTGATGTGTTGGTTAGTTTTGCGGAACTATTAGGTTTTTTTCCCTCTTTTTTATTCTTTTTATAAAGCATGGCTCTCTCAGAGGGAGAGAGGAGTACATATTGGAGAATGATGATGATATAAAAGCAAAAGCTAGCAATAAAAATTGTAAAAGGTTAAATAACCATCTTATATATCTCTCTGATCCATCCCTTTCTCTCCATTCTTATTGTCAGTATCCTATTTCAGAATCTTTCTTCTGCTCAAAAGGCTCCCCAATTCCTAACAAGTACAGTCCAAACCTCTTACTCTGGCATTCAAAGCTGGAGCTAGTAGGGCTCTGCCACACTTATCCAAACTTATCTATACTACTATCCAAAAATCAATCAATCAATAAACACTTATTAAGCACTTACTATGTGCCATGCACTGTGCTAAGTACTTTGAATACAAAAAAAAGGCAAAAGACAGTTCCTGCCTTCAAGGTGTTTACAACCTAATGTTCAGTTTGGACAAAACTAATTTTTAAAAATTTTTTTAAAAAATTGAATATTAATTTGATGTCATACAAACCCATTATTTCATCAACATAGAGAACTGACTCTGCAGAAGCAAGTCTGCATTTTGTCTTCAACTTCTGGTCTTAGAACATTGAGTGGGCCATGGGAAGGTTATGTGATTTGCTCACAGCACCCAGCTAGTCTAGGTTAGAGATAGAATTTGATCCAGGTACTGCTGACTTTAAGGCCAGTCCTATCCATCAGGCCATACAGCCCCTGATGAATCTTCTTAGGGCCCTTAAATGAAGTTAACATTTCTTTTATATCTATATGAGAAGGAAAGAATGGAAGTCACTTAATTTCTACACCTCCTGATCTTTCAAAACTTGCAAGACAGCACCTTGTAGTGGAAATAAAACTGGATTTGCAATCAGAAGACCTGGGTTCGAGTTCCAGATCAGCTGCTTTAGCTTCACAACCTTGGGCAAATCACATAATCTCCCTAAGCCTCAGTTTCCTCTTCTCAAAAGAGAGAGAGAGAGAGAGAGAGAGAGAGAGAGAGAGAGAGAGGAAGAGCTCTAAAGGAAGAGAGAGAGAGATCTACCTTACTGTCTACATCATAAAATTATTGTGAAGATCAGGTGAGACAGTATATGTAAAGTATTTTGTAAACATGTTTTCCATAAAGATGAAATGTTCTCATTATCATTATTATGAACCACAATGGCCCTGCCCACTTATTTATTACTGTTTTCCTCTGCAATCAAAATGTGACCTCTGGGTGGTGAATATATCCATCAAGGGATAGCTTAAAGCCAAATGAGGGCAATCTTGTCTGGAGGGAGGGGATGGGGCTAGGTGACCTGCCCACGGTTGAACTCCTATTAATAGTGATTCCTTTTCTAAGTTGTGACAAAAGAACTCCTCCTAGTCACAGAACCATTGATTAGAGAGGGATCACAGAAATTCACCAGAATTGTAGGGACTTGCACCCTAACTCGACAACCCACTGATCTTAGATGTCTTTTGACTCTTGGGAAGCACGGTCTGGCCAGCTGAAGAAATTAAACAAACCTGGGATGGGATGTCAGCTAACCAGCCATTGCATCTGAGACCCAGTGTTCTGAGTAGCCATATTGAATAACTCTTTATATGACAAGGTGAATGGCTTAAAATTATGATTGAGACATTGGCATTGGGCAATTGGTTGGGTTTCTGTCTAGGCTGAGAACCTGGGAAGTCAGTTTACTAGTTACTGCTCTTCTTTGATTACATATATCTTAGATATGACTATCTGTATACTTACAATTCATATACCCACAATACATATATCTATGTATGCCCACACATGTATGTATGCCCACACATATATACATATACACATGTGGGCAAGTGTGTATATATATATATATGTATGTGTTTATATAATATATATTGACATATAGATATACCTGAGGCACTATTCTGTAGAGCAGTAGAGGACCTCTGGAGGTCCCCAACACCCTTTCAGGGGGGTCTGTTAATAATTATTCATATTAATGCCAAGATACTATTTGCCTATAAACTACTCCTCCCTACTCCAAATGCATATCTGTATGATGCTGGATTTTCTTTGCATATTTCAACCAAAACAACAGATTGCAACAGATAGAACACAGAAGCAGATATGAGAATCCAGCTGTCTCCTTTTAAGCCAGATATAAAAGAGACTGGCAAAAATATGCAAAAACAACAGCACTCTTTTAATTTTTTTTGCTTTGGAAAATACAGTTATTTTTCATAAAATGTGTTATTTATGTTAACATATAATGGGTTTCTTATTTTTAAGTGAATATTTTTAAATTTTATCAGTTTTAATTTCTAATATTGATAAACATAGATGGATATAAACCACACAAACAAAAAAACTCTTTGGGATCCTCAATAATTTTTAAGAGTGTAAAGGGATCCTGAGATCAAAAAGTGTGAGAACTGCTGCTCTAGAGTGATTACTGTTTCTTTATTCTACTTGCTTTTCTGATGTAGTGGAAGGTTATTGTAAATGTTTGCACTGCAGACTGGAAGGGTCTCAAACTGGTCAAAGGCAGTGACTTTGCCCTGGGACTTCACTGTGCAGGAGCATCCCCTTTTCTTCAGGGTTGCCCTTCTACATAGCCCCCTCCCAGAGGCTGTATAGGAACTATCATATCTTTCTGGATAAAACAAGGGGAATAGTGACCATTAAACACAACCCTTTTCATGCCTTATAACCCCCAGGCCATTAACCTTTTCACCCATAATCACCTTAGCATCAGATTTAGAAAACCATTACATAATTGATCATTAGTGAAATAGCTGCAATGGCAAAACACAGCATTAGAAATGCTTGTCCTTGAAATCATAACCTGTCCAGTTCAAACTCTAAGTGATGAGTATTTGTTTCACTTCTGAGTTGACTGTTAAACACACTTTTAAATAGCTTTTGTTGGTACTGAAACAAACGTGGATTTTACTAAGCTTTAATAACTCACTAATTCTCTAACTTGGAAAGAGCGGGTTTTCTCCCAAGTGATACATTCATTATCATTATCAATAAATTATCATTATCATGGGCTTTAAAGGAAATGGAAATGTATACATATGTGTACTGGAATATTGCCAGACTGATTTGCTTTTTCCTTTTTCAGATTTTATGGAACTTTTTGGAAGGTAACTTTTATGAGCCCTATGCACTTTTGTCTTCTGCAGGGGATGTGTGTGTCACTCAATCACCATGAGTCTTATGCTTCTCATCTGTAAAAGGAAGAGGTTGGAGTAGATGATCTTTTTCTAATGCTAACAACTCATTACTCTATGATTCTGAACTCCCAGTCTTCTATGAACTGCAACCAGAAAAGAAAGGCCATTGGGCTCACTTCTCCTATTTATTTACTTTTAATTTTGAAAATGAAAATGGGTCATACCCAATAGTTGGCACGGGGGATAAAAGTACTTGATTGAGACAGAGGGAATCTAGGTTCAAATCTCATCACCTACAATTATTACCTATATGATGTTGGGCAAGGCACTTGATCTCTCTGGAATATGGGCATTCTACTAATCATCTGTAAAGTCCCTTTCAGTTCATTCCTGAGCATGACACTATGGAATTCAGACTTAAATTTGCTTCTCTGGCCTATGCCTGATACATACACCAAAATGAACTCTTTCTCCATTCATCCAGGCAGAACACAACCAAGCTAGCTAGGCATTCACTCACTCCACAGAGAAGGGGAGGGGAGAGAAGGCTTGACACTGTTTTTTGGGATTTCTTTTGTGGGTGTGCCCTCAAGTTGAGTATTGCTTTTCTGAATGGATATTCAGAATATGAAGAAAAACAGAGTTCTGTGAGAAGAAGGGGGAAGCCTGGCATCTGGGAGGGAAAGGAAATGACTCTCTAACATGCAGTTCTCACAGACTTGTCTTGCTCTGAAAGAGGAATCAAGGTGCGTGTACTCACTTCTCCTCAATCATCTGCTTTTGATATTCCTCATACTCTTCTCTAGTCATTCCCTTTGCAGCTGCAGGATCAGAGGTGCCTCCTTCTTCTTTTTTCTCTTCTGTACCACCGCCAAGGCCTAAATTCTTGACCTGATTACTTAGCATGTTTTTGATGAAGAAAGTCATGGTGTCTTCCCAAAAAAGTGAAAACTAAGCCTCAAAAAAAAATCTCAAAAAAAATTCTCAAAATTTACCCAAAGATAGCAAATAATATAACAGCAAAAAGCTTTCTACACAGCCTCATCAGCTCTTCAAGGACATAATGATAGGGAAAAGAGGATGCCAAAAATGGTTTGTCGGCCATAAGCTGGATTAAAGCGGCGAACTCCTTAGTGTATAGAGGCAGATGGTTCAGATTACTCTGGGGGAAAAACCCATCCCACCATCATTAGATGCAACTGACTAATTTCTATATTCTTTTTTTTTAAATTTCACTTAATTTCATTGCAATTTTTTATTTCATTTCATTACAGCAGGCTGCTCTCAGGAACTGTTTGGCCATACAGGAATTTCCAAATTCCAGCCCTTCAGCCCAACATTCCTATTGAAAACAGTGCAATGAGCTTTGAGAACCAGAATCCTTCATTAAACAAAAATAATCCTTTTTATCTATCATTTTATCTCATTGGGCTCTAAGTGCTGGGCAAGGATTTGCTTTTGAGTTCGCTTAGGTTTTGTCCTGCTCAATAGCTACTGCGCTGGATTCGATGACAAACTTATTTCTAAGTCTGAAAGGAAACTGAGTGGTCCCTTGAACTGCAACTGTGTGCAGTGATGGATGGATGACCTCTGGGTCACAAGACAAGATGGTGGACATTTTCTTTAATCTCCGTGAACTTGTGACTTTCTCCAAAACAAATTATGCACCAAACACAAAGCAATTTCAGCTGGCTTTATGGTATAGAACACTCAGAATCCAAAAGAAGGTTAAAAACAAACAACCCAGGAATTGATGCTCACTAACCCTGAGATCAGTCAGCACCCCTCCCCCACTTCCCACTAACAAGATGGTACTAGCAGACCCAAGGACCAAACATTGGCTTACTTATATCAAACCCTCCATACACCCCATTTTTCCCTTCCTCTTTCCAGTGCTGTGGAGACCCCAGCTCTAAGGTGTAGATGTTTCCTTGGGTTGTCAAGACAGTCAGCTTGGCCACAACCCTTCAGGAGCAAGAGCCTGCCAGGGGCTGCAACCCAGGGGCACCAGTGCTGTAAAGCTCTGAATTGGCAGTGCCAGAGCAAACAGACTCTGAACCGCTAATGCTGGGCTAGAGAACTGTGGAACAGAGAGAGTCGGAAGTCACCAACTTGACACCATGTGCATGTGGATCTGTGCAGAACTACACCACGCCTGAAGAATATGACAAAATAAAAAACCTTAAACACCACAATTAAGGAAAAATAGAAGAGAACTGCCCAAAACTTCTAAACATAGAAAATTAAATTCCAACTGAAAGAATTTGCAGATCACCTCCAGAAAACAACAAACAAACAAAAGTCAAAGGTTGCAAACTCCAAGACACACAGTAGTTACATTTAACAATTCAATTCAGAATCAAGTTGTGCAAGCCATCAGGAGAAAAAGCTTCAAATACAAAGGAATGGACATTAGAATCAATGTAAGACTAGACCCACTAGAAAAAGGAGAAGGGAATGGAATAATTGTTCTGAAGAGCAATGGAGCTCAGGATACCACCCAGGTTGACTTATCATGCAGATCTGAGCTTAACCATACTGGGCAAGGAAAGGATGTTCAATAATAAAGAAGAGATTGAAACATTTTTAGAAAGAAAACCAGAACAGAAGAGATTATTTGCTTCTTAAACACCACAAACAACAGAAATGTAGGAGGACTGAATAATTATATGAGGTAAGAACAGCAATAGCAAGAAAGTGACAACAGAGAGACCACTAGTAAGAGACTTCTTTTTAAATGTGCACAATGGGACAGAGGTGAAGGTGGAAATTTGGTACAGGTAACTGTGAAGAGGCAGACAAAGGCATTATGGATGGAACCTGGTGACCCCTGACTTCAGGTGAATCAGTGCCTTTTTTGTTGGATAAGGGGGCAAGGGGAATGGGGAGAGAGAAGAATGTGTGATATGCCAGGGTCCAAGGGCTAGCCATGGGAGGAAGGTGATCTTTGCTCCATATTCAGGAACATAATGGGGGAAGGGTCTCACCATGGACATTGGCACTAATTGGCATTATTCTGGAAATGAGGCACAATGGAAAATGGGAATCCAGGAGGTAAGCCCTATATGGCAGTGGTAGTGATGGGGTGCTAATGATGGACCCCTAAAAGGCCCTAGACTTTGCCATGTGGCCCAGGTCCTTGGTTTCCAGGTCCCTGGCATTTGCCTGGGGTACCCAGCCTTTCCGGGTCCTTCTCTGTTACCTCCCAGTCACCCAAGCTATTGGACACTCCTGGACCACTGTATATAAGTGTCCATCTTGCCTCCACTAAATCGTTCAAATTCCTTAAGAGTCTGGCCCAATTGTATTTTCATTACAAAGGCTGAGAGTCTTAAAATCTGGCCAATAGTACAGACTCACTAGGAATCTCATTCACCCCAGTTAGTATTCCAATAAACTTTGTCTGTGGCTGAAAGGAGGCTTAGGCTGAATTCATTTGAGGCAGGACCTGCATCACTTGCTCTTGAATTTCAGGGTCCCAGCACCCCTAGACCTCAACAGCATAAAGCACCTACAGGTGAGAGCCCAGAATGGATACCTTGGAAGCTGTGATTGTATGAAGAATAAAGAGAAAAGAGAAAGAGAAGAGCCTAGACAGCAGGGGATGGGAAGGAAGGAAGGATTGAAAAGGATGGAGAAAGAAGGAAGCTGCACTTTGGAGGTAGGAGGGGACACACTGACGAATGCTCATTTGGCGAAGAGATTGTGAAGGGAGATGAGGACCTCATATTTGATGAAAAGTTTTGAAAGTCTCCTTGTCCTGGGAGGTAGAGAGTTGGAATTCTGGCGGCAACTGACACCTGAAGGAATGGGAGAATGTGGACACAGGAAGGAGATTTCCAAGCCAATGTAGAAAGAAAGATCAAGAAGAGAGGGTATAGCTTACAGGTGGGCTGCATAATCAGGGATATGATGGAGGAAGGGCTTTACCATGGGCAGTGTCCTTTCTGACACCAGGAATAACTGGCATTGTTCTGGAAATGAGGTACAATGGAAAAGGGGAATCCATGAGGTAAGCCCAGCGGCAAAAAGAATCTAAAGGAGAGAGCTTAGAATGGATACCTTGGAAGCTTTGATTGTTTGAAGAATAAAGAGAAAGGAGAAAGACCAGGTAAGTAGAGGGGTCATGAATCAGAGTATGAGGGTCTAGCAGGAGTGGGGAACTGAAAGGGATTTGTTCTGTGAAGTCTGGATTCAGTCATGGGCTGCACTTGAGGACCTCGAGGGCCACATGTGGCCTTGAGGCCGCAGGTTCCCAACTCCTGACTCTACAGTAAACAGAAAGACAACATGAATAATGAAGACAGTGAGAGAAATCCTTTTTGGAAAGGGGCTAATTTTTTTTTTTTTAACTTATGAACAGAACTAATTGAAGCGGAGAAGTGAAAGGATGGAGCAACTTGACTGAGAAGGAAAAATAAAAGGGGAGGAAGAAATATATACCAGACAAAAGCAGGAGAGAAAAAGGAACTAATAAACAAAGCCCTAAAGGGAAATGGGTAATAAATGAGAAGAGAGGATCAGGGTAAGAGGAAGAAAGCCAGTGGGAACAGGGCTACCTCGAAAAAGATTAAATTAACCGAAGGAACATAAAACTATATTTGAAGCAGAAGAGAGGAAAATCATAACAAAAACATTTTAGCGGCAGATGGAGGAAAATATAAATCTAACTCATAATTTTAAATGTGAATGAATTAAACAACCCAACAAAGTGAAAAACAGTAACAGAATGAATAAGAAAATAAAACTGTATAATCTATTGCTTAACCTCTGGTAACAGTTTATTTTGAAGGGGTTATGGAAAGATAGGCACTTTAATACACTGTTTGCAGAGCTGTGAAATAGTACAGCCATTTTGAAAAACAATTTGGAATTATGCAAATAAAGTGACTAAAATGTCCATACCCACTGAACCAGAGGCTCCATTGTTAGGCTTATACCTCGAGGAAGCCATAAATAAGAAAAAAGTCCCTATACTTCAAAATATTTATAGCAGCACTTTTTGTGATAGCTAAGAATTAAAAACAAAGTAGACGCTCATTAATTAGGTAAAAGCCAAGTAAACTGTGGTACATGAATGTAATGGAATATTACTGTGCTATAAGAAATGATTGTGGGGGCAGCTAGGTGGCATAGTGAATAGAGCACCAGCTCTGGAGTCAGGAGGACCCAAGTTCAAATCTGGCCTCAGCTGTGTGACTCTGGGCAACTCACTTAACCCTAACTGCCTCACACACACACACACACACACACACACACACACACACACACAAAATGATTGTGTGTGACGAATAGAGAAGTACAGAAAGATCTATATGAACTGATGCAGAGTGAAGTACACAGATCCAAAAACAATATACACAGCAATAACTGTAAATGGAAAGAACAATGGCACACCAAAAAAATCAAAAGTAAAATATAACGAAATTATAAAGATCAAGTAGGACTCAAATGAACAGGTGAGAAGACATCCCTTTTGTGGAGGTGAGATCCACAAGTCTTACATGTTGCACGTTTTTGGACCTTTTCGATGTATCAATCAGTTGTGCTGACTTAAGGGATGGCTGTCTGGGGGGTGGGGATATATGGGATACTATGGTGATGGAAGAAATAGAAAACATCAACAAAAATTTATTTGAAACTAACAACTAGTATTCATATAGCACCTACTATATGATAGACAAGAGGATATGCAGTGAAGACACATTAATTCAGCTGAGTAAAGCTTCCCCTTCTACATTGTACTGAACAAATGTTATAAGCCCATTTCCTGGGGGGAAATTGGAACCTGCCCACTGAGATGATCTTGCTCAAATGTTGGTCAAGTATGAGAATAATGACAAAGATAAAAAGTGATGAAGGTGAAAGTAATGAAGATGAAAGAGATGACAATAAAGGTTCTCCTCTCCAGTCATGTCTTCCAACTA